CTTTTGCAAAAATAAATAAATAAAAAACAAACAGAGCTCAAAAGATTTACATTTTTCATCTATTAAATTACGAAAAAAATCTATTAAGAAATGTTAACTATGATATAATTATCATTAAGTTGAGCATGCAAGTATGGTTTAATTCATAGTTATCCAATATTTAAAAATATATATTTTAGAACGAAGAAAATACCAATTGGGCTACAGCACATGTCGCTACCAAAGAAAGAATGAAAGGAAGAGTTGAAGAATTTCTTAGAGAATCATAGAAAATCTGCTCAACTTTTTTAATTGTGCTCCTCAAGAGTCACCAGGTATATTTTACCCACCATAAAAATGTAATGACACGGCGGTTCAAAGACTTAATATTACATAATGCATATAATTGTATGATTAATCATTAATTTATCTTGTTAGAAAGTTTGGTATGACTTTGAAAAGATCAAATCAGACAACAAAGTTTTTAAGGTTAAAAGATTACAACTTCTTATCCCTCGTCCTATTTTGTTTGCATGATTTGACAAAACATGGATATTAAAAATTTAGTCAACAAAAATTATTTTGCGTGTTTTTACCTTAACTCATTAAGCCATTAATAAAAGTCATTCATTTAATGAACAATCATAAAGGTTATTATGGGAAAATAATTATTTAAATATACAAATTTAGAAAAAAATAATTATTTAAATATACAAATTTAGAAACCTTGCAAATATTTTGGAACATCCAAAAAAGGAATAACAAGCAAACAAAATGGGATAGAGAGAGCATATTTTTCCATCTAAATATTAATTTTATGTTTTGTACAACAACAGAAAAGGGACAGAGAGAAGTAGAAGAAGACTGGCAAGAAGAGAGAGATGAAATTATGATAATGATGGAAGAGACAAAAGCAGAAGATGAAAAGACAAATTGATGACAATAATGGAACACACAGAAAAGGAAGGATATCCACAGGAAAAGAAAAACAAAAGCGCAAAAGGAAAAGAAAAGATGGAAGTAGAAGAAAAAATACTAAAAATAGGAGGTAAAAGCATGTTAATGGAAGCAAATCCCTAAGAAGAGGAAGGTGAAAGCATGAGAAGAATGAAACATATGAAAGTGGAAGGACATCCACAAGAAAAGGGAGATACAAACAAAGAATATACACAAATAGAGACAAAAATGGCAGAAAATCACAAGAAGAGGAAAGCAAAATCATTGTCGTTGTTCATACTGCAGAGAGGGAATCTACCGTTTCAATATCAAATAATATTAAGGATGACATTATACTTATAGATAACACGGTCTACTATAATTTTTACCTTTTTTTAATTAACTCTTGCTTAGAATTTTTTAATTTCAAAGTATAAAGATTAAACTGATATTATGCGCATAAATACAAACATTATGCGCTTGTTGGTTCCTATTAGGGGTGAATTCGGACGATATGGAACAGAATGACTCTCTTTCCAATTTCTTTCCGAAATATTTTGAAATTTAAAATTTCACTCCATTTCATTCCAAATATTTTTTTTTTTTTGGAATTTAAAATTTCATTCCATACTATTTTATGAAAATTCGATTTAAAATTCGGTAATTCCAAATTTCTCAACTGTAAACACAAATGTAGTCTATTATAATATATTATAATATATAAATTTTTAAATTTAACAAAAAATAATCAATATAATTATTTAAAATTAGATATAAATATTAAAAAAAACACAATTAAATTGCAATAAAACAATAAATTCAAGCTTATTGATGAGGAATGAGGATTACCCTCACTTGATAACTTTCCATTTAATTAGTAATGAAGTAACAGCAAAAACAAAAAAACACAAAGTTAGTGCAACCGTGAAATAGATATAATAAAATTCAAAAACAATAATCCGACGTCACTTCGCCGATCCGTAGTCCACTATAAACTTTCCATTTAATTAGTAATGAAGTAACAGCAAAAACAAAAAAACACAAAGTTAGTGCAACCGTGAAATAGATATAATAAAATTCAAAAACAATAAATTAGAAAAAAAAAAATAAGAATTAAAAGCAAAAATAGGTCAAGAGGGCAAATCACATAAAAAATTTCAGAAATTTTCCAAAGTTGATAATCAAAAAAAGAAATTTCCTTATCGAGCACAACAACAAAAAAAAAAATAGATATTTCTTGGTTCCCTCTCTGGTTGTACTGCATATTTGTTCTTTACAGTATTATGGAAATATTGGGGAGGGAAAATAGGAGAACAATCTTTGAACTTTTATACAATTAGATAATTTTTTATTTTCTTAATTTAGAAACCAATTAAACCAACAACCCATGTACCCAGTTTTTTAACCTGGTCAATATCCGGACCGAGTTTAATAACACTGATATTTAACTTAGCTGGAATGTTACCTAAATGGATTATAATTAAGTAAAATTATTATGATTTTATATTATACCAATTCAAATTTCTCAATAACAACAACATCATCAACAATCAAATTAATTTAGGCTTTCAAAAAACAAAATGTTCGAAGTTTGTTTTAGTGGAAGATCCACTTAATGAATGACTAAGTACATAGAAAGTCCACTTAGTAGGTGCGATGAGTGAGAGGTCTCGAGTTCGAGTTCTCAAGACCACAAGAGTTTTCACCAATTTGGTGAGTCAAGAGAATGACTACATTCTATTGTGTAGTCCATAGGGTTATTTCAATCCATTGAGTCTCCTTATGAATAAAAATAAATAAATTCTAGACAAGAGATGGGTGGATGCTACAATTGTTAAAAAAAAAATAGTTCATAATATCAATTGAAAAAATTAAAAGAATTAGTCAAAACTATAAAAATATCAAAGTTTAAATTTTTAGTCATTTGGCCTATTTTTAATTCATTAGAATGTTAAATAAGTCAAAATAACACAGGCTACTCTCTCCAAAATTCATTAAATTAGTGAAAACTCATAATAAAAAGAACTTTACAGTACTGCTTATAAAAAGTGAGAATATATATATATATGTATGTGTGTGTATACGATGGCTTGAATATTGTCAGCACAGTCTATTTTCTTTGTCTTTCTTGAGGATTTGTCTCCCTTGGTATTTAAAAAAATTTAATTTCATTAGTTACATTAGTTTTTTTAGTTAAATTCTATTGGTTAAAAAATAAAATAAAAAACTATCCGTCGTATTTATATCAAGAATTTTATATTGTATATTACCGAGATATATATATATATATATATAGGCATGGCCACGGTTCCGGAACCGGCGATTTTATATTGTATATTACCCGAGATATATTGCGTATATCCTATATTCATAGGCTATGGCCACAGGTGTGGAACCGGCGGTTTCCGGTTCCAGAAAGTGGAACGAACCGAACCGAAATGCCGTTCCGGTTTCCGGTTTGGAACTCCGTCCCGGTTCCCGGTTTCTGGTTCCGGTTCCGATGCGATTACAAAAACGACCGGTCCGATTGGCTTTTCCGGCGAATCGCATAATTTTGAAATTTCTTAAATTTTGATCCGGTTTAAAAAAAAAATTATATTTAAACCATTAAAAAATTTAAAATACTGTTTAAAAATTTAAAATATCAAGACCAACTAAAAAAAAAGTATTTTGAACATAAAAAATTTTAAAAAATACACCGTAAAAAATTTCAGAATTTTTTTAAGGGGACCGGTGTTCTAAAAGAAGAAATTTGAACTTGATTTTTTTTTTTAAGTGCTTGGAACCATAATGATTTTTTAAAAAAAGAAATTTGAATTTATTTCTTTTTTTTTTTAAGTTTTTGAACATAATGGATTTGTTGTTAAAGGAATTTTAACAAGGAAATTAAACAAACTAAAAAAAAAAAAAAAAAAAAAAAAAAAAAACAAAAAATCTGACAAGTACAACGGCTAGAACCGCCGGGTTCTCGAAACCGGTTCCGAACCGGCGGGTTCTAACGCGGAGAACCGCCCCGGTTCCATTCCGTACCGACCGTTCTATGGAAACCGCCGGTTTCTGGTTCCACATTTGCTGGCAACCGGAACCGAACCGGAAATTTTTCCGGGTTCCGGTTCTCACCGGTGTCCGGTTGCGGTTCCGGGCGGTCGAACGACGGTTCCGGTTTCCGGAACCGCCCAATATGGCCATGCCTTTATATGTAATATATATATATATATATTATATATAAATTTTATTTTTATTTAATTTCTATTATTAAGACTTTTTATTTTTCACATTTTTAAGGAAAGTATTGAGCTGTTAGAATTGAATTCTAGGACCGAAACAGTAAAATACAAAGGATTTCTTTTAAAATATATAAAGTTTATTTTTATTTAATTCTATTATTAAGACTTCTTATTTTTCACATTTTAAGGAAAGTATTGACTTTAAAAATTGAATTCTAGGACGAAACAGTAAAAATACAAAGATTCTTAAAATTGTTTTATACAACGTGTAACATAAACAAAAGGGAAAATACATAGGCTTTAAAGAGCTACCAATTCTAAGATTGAATATTATAGGTTTCATATTTTATATAATGTTAAATGAATCAGCATTGGAAAAGACAAATGGCACATTAGATTTTCTTAGATTTTGCTTTAAAATTTGATGCCAATCATTTCAAACTAATTTAGTTTTTGTTTATATACTACTCCCCCGTTCCACTTTAATAACGAAAGGGTATTCTATTTTATTTCAATTTAAATGTTTATTTAGAATTTTAAAAGTATATTAATTTTTTTTTAATTTTATTCATATTTATTAAGTATTTTACAACAAAATTAATGAAGAGTTTTTAATTTTAAGAAGGGTAATTTAGACATTCAACCTTATATTTTAAAAAATCAATGTGTTCCGATCATTTTCTTAATTTTTGTAAAAAGATCAAATGTTACTATTAAAATGGAATGGATGGAGTAACTTTTATTCAAGTACAAAATTTGAAGGGTACCTATAAGTTCAAAATTTAGAAATTAGAGTATAATATCTTAGGGACCCAAGTATAAAATCATTAATAAAATTTAGCAACCAAAATTTAGCAATTTAGAAACAAGATCATCAAATTTTTTGATATAATGAAAAAGATCATGAAGTTTTATTACCCTTCTTTTGACAAACCTAATACAGAATTCTAACATTACTACCCTGCAATGCTAGCTTTACTAGTAGTCTACATTACAGACTCAATACACCTAAAATATAGACAAAGTAGATGACTTCCTCAAGTCAGTTCTTTCATTTAAGCAGCAGCCAAACAAACTCCTGAAACAAAGAAATCAGATGCAGCATCAGATATATGGAGTGATGGAAATTTCACCATTTCTTCATTAATAGACCTGAAACAAAGAAATCAGATGCAGCATCAGATATATGGAGTGATGGAAATTTCACCATTTCTTCATTAATAGATGCAGCAAGGCTTGATATGCACAGTGAACATACATAAAATTTCATCAATCTTCTTAAACCAAACCATCATTTAGCCAATTTCTCATAATTGCAAAAGCCTGCTCTGCATCTTCATCTTCTTCGGGCGAGTTAGGACGATGTGCAAAGCTGTGACCTCTTCCCTCGAAAGTAACTACCTTTGATCCCTGACCAATGCGCTTCTCGAGATCTTTCAAGACATCAACTGAGCAAAGAGGATCGTCGTCCCCTGAAATAAATAGTACTGGCACCTTTACATTGGAAGCTATTGATGGATCAATCCTTGTGCCGTAAAAAGAGACCCCAGTGCTAAAACAAGATCCCTGGTCTTCAGATAGCACGTCCACCACTCGGCCTCCTCCATAGCAAAACCCAATTATGCCAAGCTTCTTTGATATTCCTGCAGCTAAAAGTTCATCAGCCATCCATTTTGCTGCTGTGGCAATATCCTTCACAATCCTGTTGGCTTCTTGTTTCTTAATCCACTGTTCAAAATATCCTTCACAATCCTGTTGGCTTCTTGTTTCTTAATCCACTGTTCAAATATGGACTTTGGCCTGTCTTTTCCCCATGGGTCTCCGCGAAATAAGTCAGGAACCAGAACACTGCAGTTAAAGGACAAAATTATGCAAGGTTTGAGAGTCAACTAGACCAATCTAAAATGAACTACTAAAAATTACAAGATCATCAATCTACAACAACTTTGAGATATTTAAAGGAGCACAAATAGATTAGAAAACAAACTTCCAAACTAACTGCATGTTAGAGAACAAAATTAAAAATAACTAAATACACAAGTACTCAATCTTTCTGCTAGCATATAGGATGTAATTAATTCCAGAATTGTATAACCCCGGATAATTAGACTCAATATCAATAGGAAATGAAGCTAATTGGAATAAGAAGATCATACACACATAAGAAGAAGCCAAAGGTTGAGAATTTAGTGTTACTTTATTGGACATAAGAGCCATTAAGGGTGTGTAATATTAAACAAAGCAAAAATATTATTCTTAACTGACATTCAAAAATTAGTTTATTCACCAAGCCACAGAAAGTTCAAGACGGGTTGATTCGGAATTTTATCAACTACAACAGCAAAGCCTTAATCTCAAACTAGTTGGAGTCGACTATATGAATCCACACTAATGTCAAGAAGCAATAAATCTTTTGATTTCGAATTTCTTGAATCTGCATCGAGTTCCTCAGTGATTCGGAAATATTTCACATTCTTTGAAGCAGATGAATATATTTAGTATTTAAAATTTCTAAGTTGAAGCTGCCCTAAACGGGACACCGAGAAGTATCTACACCATTCAGAGGAAAAACTTAAATGTGTTAGGAAAATGGCAGAAGGATAGACATCATCATCTTTCACTTTTTGTTTCAAGGTTTAAGCAAACATACTTGTAGCCATTACAGGCAACACGGTACGCAAAGTCTCTTGTAGATGAATCTTCAAACCCAAAAATATCAGACAAGAGCAGTATGCCAATTCCATTGTTATTTTTCACTGCCTTGAAGAGGTAAGCACGGATTGTATCAACACCATCACCAATTGACAGTTCCATTCCATTGACTAACTCGCATGCCTCATCATTTATGTCATCTTCAACTTTGAACAAATTACAAGAAACTTTATGGGAACATTCTCTGTAATTGATCTCTGAGGATAAAAACTGCATTTTTTTTCTGAAAAGAAACTGAAGCTTCACAGTCAGAATTTGCATACTTCCAACAAGACTAAGAAAATGCTAGAATTAGTAAAATTGCTATTCATATATCGATGGAGGAATTATTTCCTAGATCCTTACAGGAATAACAATAATTGTTGATGATGTTTTTTTTTTTTTTTTTTTTTTTATGATGTTTTTTTTTTTTTTTTTTTCTTTTTCTATTTTTCAGTATAACAAAGAAAGAAAGGAATCGAAGCCCATTTCCATCAAAGAATATGCATTTTGGGGAATTTAGCTTAAGAAAAATTGAATATTAAAGAATTTTTTTTTTTTTTTTTTTTTTTCTATTTTCAGTATAACAAAGAAAGAAAGGAATCGACCCATTTCCATCAAGAATATGCATTTTGGGAATTTTAGCTAGAAAAATTGAATATTAAAGAAAGGGAAATGGACGTACAGGAGAACGAAGCAGAGGAGAAGAAGGCGACCCTGGAAGAAAGTGAAGGTGGCGGCGGAGAGATGACCGTGGCCTTGTGGTGATAGCCGCAGCGGCGGCGCTAATTAAGGGTGAGAAATTTGCGGCGGTGGCTGAGGCCAGCCCCATGTCACTGTCTTTGAAGTTTGAGCGACAGAACACTGGTTAAAAGTTAGCAACTGTCGGAAAAAGTTAAAAACGGAAACAGAGCGGCAAACCTGAAAATATCTAGTTTTGGAAAATCGATATTATTTCCTCCCATGGGAAATCCTAGCCTTGCAAATTTTTAGTAGTACATAGAAGCTTGACATTCCCTTTATATTTTAAAAGGGTGGACAAAAATAGGTCGTACCGATCGAATCCAACAGAATTAATCAGTTTGATTCAATTTAATTTTAAAAGTTTTCAGTCTGATTTTTACTTGTATAAAAAATTCAAATGTAAACTGTTTAATTCTTAAAAATTCTCAAAAATCAATTTCACCCAAAAATTAAATTCAAGCAGAAACATTGAATCGAAACGCATTGATTCGGTTCAATTAAATTATCTCAACTCCACTCCACCTGAACTATCCACATATGATTTATATATCCGTTCAGAGATCTATAATAAAAACACCCATAGTTTTCATCACTTATAGAAAATAGTTTCAGATATGAATTATTAACACGTGATTAACGGTAAAAAGAAATTGATATTCTAATAATCACAATACCTAAACACAACAGAAGGCACATGTTCAATTTTGTAATAATCTTCTCCTCCATCTTCAAGCCTAATCTTGAATGCTTTAAGCATTGATCTGATCTCTATTTCCTGGAGTGAGATGATAAACTTTAGTCCATCAGGAACCATCTTCATAGATGTGCAATTTGAAATCTCTACTTGGCAAAGATTAGCCATGGCTCCTTCTTCCACCTTCCAGTCTTCAAGGTTAGGCAAGTCAAAAAGAAACAAAGACTTCAACTGAGGAAAACCTTTATCAGCGCAAACCATTGTTGTCCCAAGGAACGAATCCATTTGTAAACGGAGGATTCTTAAGTTGGGTAATCTCTCCAGTTTCATCATTGGATCTTCAGAAAGTCTTGATCCTTGTAGGTTTAATTTGGCCAAATTTGAAGAAAATTGATGCCACTCTGGTAATTTCTCTATCCGCCCCTCGATGTTCAGCTTATAAAGATAAGGACATCCTGTTATAACTTCATTTACAGTAGAATCTTCATTACTTACAAAAGATAAAGACTTCAAATTATTAAATGTAGCACCAGATTTGAAGAGCAGTCCAAATTTTGGATCATCTATCACTAGTTTCTTTAGATTAGTCAAACTCAACAGATCTTTTATCTTGCATTTTTCTGCAGGAAAGTTGACTAGTGTTTGCAGGTTGCACAAATAAGCCAATTGCCATCTTTCAGAATCTTCACCACAAGACTCGGGAAGATATAAATGCCTTAGTCTTTGCATCTTCCATATCACATTTGGTATTGCTATAGTTGAATTCCAAGTCAAAAGGTCTAGAGTTTGCAAGTACCTCAAATTCCCTATTGTAACTGGCAATTCATCTATATCAGTATCTCTCAAGCTGAAGAATCTCAAGTGAATAAGCTTGCCGATTTCTTTAGGTAACTTGCCATTTTGACCTTGCATTCCTTCAAGATCTAAGACTCTGAGGAACTTAAAATTTTTGAACACAGATTTTATAGATCCCCATTTCTCCACATGACATGCCTTTTCATGGAAATACAAAAGAGACCTGAGATGGGAATTCCTTTTGTATCGAGAGGGGATAAATTTTTTAAGGACTCCATTAGAATATACAGCTAGCCTACGAAGTCTACCAAATGACCTTGCATCACTTACGATGGCTTGAGGAAAAGAATAGATTGTTTGATCATTTACATGTAATTGACTGAAACTTTCAACAAAATTTTCTTGCTTTGCCTTTGACAAACACAAGTCTCGCATAAGATCATGCATACGACAAGTTCTAATACTTCCAGTTGAACCCCTTTCTACTACTTGAACCATACACCTCTCAACCAACTCATCTAAGTAACGTTGAGCCACATCTTCCATAATTTCCTCTTCCATTTCATCATTGTGCATAGATGATATGAATCCTTCGGCAATCCACATTTGGATTAACTTTTTCGTAGGTATTTCATAGTCTTGCGGAAAATGAGCCAAGTGAAGAAAGCAAGGTTTCAACTGATATGGCAATTCATGATAGCTTAAAGCTAAAACCTCTGATACTCCAAAGCCTTTGCCTCTCCTCAAGTGGGAAATAATATTTTGACTAACTTTATCCCACTCATAGATACTTGTTTTAGTTGCCAGTAGTCCTCCAAGCACAATGATTGCCAATGGTAGGCCTGTACATTTTCCAACCATTTCCGTTCCTAATTTCTCCATTTCTGCTCTAGCTCTATAGTCTGCAACAAGTATACGTAACTTTTAAACTGAAATTATAACAATCATGATGACGGGAACACTTGATGCATGACACTTAAAATTAAGTGATTCATAGCAATGCAGTGGGACAAGTACTGTAGAAAATCTTATATTCCAAGTTCATGCAGAATTTCAGATTAGTATACTAGATAATTTAAAGAAAGTCCCAAGATTAAGAATGCAATAAAAGAAAAAAGTGACCAGTCGTGTGTTTTCTATTTCCTAGATTTACTAATAGGAGAGTTCAGAGTCTTCTATATCAAGTACAAATAATTTTCTTTTTTCCCTTTCCACTTTCTGAAAATTGAACTGTAATTTCATTTCACAAAGAGTGAGCTCTGTTTTCTAAGAAATGATAAATCAATTTTGAACCATAAGCCAAATTGGTAACAGCAAAATTTCAAGAATCAAATTCAAATCGCCAATCTCCTAACCACCAAAATTAAAAAATTGCCATCAAGATGTTTAATTTTGCAGTTAACTTGAGCAGGCATACACACATTATTTTCTTTCATGGCTTGGCTACTTGGTGAACGCCAAATAAGCTATGTGACTACTGTCTACTTGTTTCTTAAATCTTGAAATTACTCAAGTAATGCTTCTAAGTCCTTGGCTACTTATTATCACATATATGGCAGTGTTCTATTTCTTCAAAATTTTCCTCTTTCTTATGCAAAATTAGAATTGATGCTAATAATTAAACATACAGAACAGTAATAAATTTATCTAAAAATAGCAAATTGGAGAAAAATTTACCTGGATAATTTTTATCAAGAAATGCTTTCCTTTTAAACAATTCCCAGCTCTCTTCATCATTCAAACATCGAGGTTGATGTAGAAAAGACATTGGATCTGGAAACAAAGCAACATCTCTAACCCGAGTTGTGAGCATTATTTTACTACCCGAATTTCTTCTTCCATAAGGAAAAGCAGGACACAAATTATTCCAAGTCTCAACAGTCCAAATATCATCAAGAATGACCAGACATTTCTTCTCTTGTTGAACTTTATAAAGCCTTTTAGCCACTTCATCATCTCTTAGACTAGAAATTTCCTCTCTTTGCTCCTTAGAAGGATTTATTAACTCAAACAAAATTCCTTCCCAAACATCCCTTACTTGAAATTGTTGAGATATACAAGCCCAAGCAAAGGCATCAAAACAATGCCTAACATCACTATTATGATAAACCTTCCTAGCAAGAGTTGTCTTTCCAAGTCCGCCCATTCCATAAATAGAAACAAAAGTTCTTTCACTTTTCAACAATATGCCCACCAAAATTTTCACATCTTCTTCTAAACCAACAATATCTTCTTCAACAAAATGTGAATAGGACCGCCTCACGAGTTGTTGCCTTGAAGAAGAAACTGATGGATTTTCTCTTTCTCTAGGTTGTATACCAATAGTTTGCAAATTGGAATAAAGAGCAGCAATTCTTGATTTTACAGTTCCAATTTCAGATCCAACCTTGTAAAGCTCTACAGATTCTTTAGCAATGGAAGCATACCTTTTGATAACATTGACCACGCCTGATCCTCGCTTTAAAGCAACTTTAAGAGCGAATTCTTCAATAATATCTTCAATATCATAAGCAGTTTCTCTTATCTCAGAAACCCAATTGCGAAGAGTTTCTTTATTATCTTCTTCTTCTTTTCTTGAATCTGCATCTTTTAAAAAAGACTGCATTCGCCTTAGTTCAAATTGCATACTAATAACTTCATCTTTTACTCCTTCTAAGTAAATTGCTTCTTGAATGAGCAAGTCCGTCAGTCTTTGTACTACTATTGCTACTGCAGATTCTGCAGCCATTTTTGTTCTGTTCGGTGGCTGAGAAAGCCTCTCCTTCCTTATTCTCTTTTGCCAGAAAATTAACAATTTGTCAAAAGGAGACAGCCACGTATTAGAAAGTCGTAGCTTATGCAGGAGGGAGGCCCGCAATACGCGTACTATTCACCGGTCGGCCAGAATTTGTGAGGGTCTCTTTCTTTTATTTTTTATTAAAAATTATTATTTTGTCCTCAAGTTATGACGAAAAACAGTCTCACCTTCTGATATCCGACGTCTCAAAATAATAATTCTGTTTTTCTTTTTGAAAATAGTCTTTTATTATTATTATTATTATTATTATACCCTTGTAACACAATTTGTGCGAATAATTTGTCTATATAAAATTATTACATTTTTAATCAAATATAAAGTAATTAGATATTAATTTTTCATTAAAAACTCTATAAATAATTTTAAAATTTAATTAAAAATTATTAATGTATGGGTCTATATGGAAAAAGAAGGATAAATCTTATAGTTGTGAACAAAAACCAAGAATCTTGATTGAAAATGTTTGTAGCAGTAAAAAAAAAAAGAATAGCTAGAAGAAGATGGAAAAAATATCTATGCATTCCGCTGTGTTGTAATTGTTGCCCACTGTCTCTTTTATATACAAAGAAATAAAGAATAGCCATCTAATTAATTTGGATGCTTCCAGACATCCGCCTCAGCAAATTAAAAAATAAATTAACAATTGAACATGACTTTTCTATATATAATCTTTCACCCCTCCCTCAAGTTGGAAGCGGTGAAAAGGTCACCAATCCCAACTTGGACAATAAGAAAGAAAAAGCAAGAGAGTGAAGAGATTTGGTGAAGATATCTGCGAGCTGTTATTTTGTGGAAACATGAGCTGGTATAATGAACCTTTCAAGGAGCTTATATGCAAGAAAGTGACAGTTAATAGCAATATGTTTTGTCCTCTCCTGAAATACAGGATTTTTGTAATGTGAATTGTAGCTTTTTGTCACAGTATAGAGTTATGGGAGATTTAAAAGGAATTTTTAAATCTTACAAGATATAAGTTATCCATTGGAGTTCGCAAACTATGAGTGTGATGCTCTTGTACTCAGCTTCAGCAGAGAATCTACTAACAATAGTCTATTTTTTTGTTTTCCAAGAAATGAGAGATGGACCAAGAAAAATGCAGAAACCCGTAACAGACCTTCTAGTAGTATCTGAGCATGTAGTCCAATCTGCATCACACTAGCAAATAAATGGAAAATTATTATGGCTGGAAAAAAAAAAAAAAGCCGTGAGTGGTGCACCCTTTGAGATATCTGAAAATGTAAAGAGCAGCTTTGTAATGGTCTTGACATGGCTGCTACATATACTAGCTCAGTTGTTGCACTGCATAGGTTATACTGGCTCAGTTGCTGCACTGCATAGGTGATATCTGGTCTTGTAAGACCGAGTTATAGTAATTTTCCTATGAGTCTCCTGAACTAATCTGGATTAGATAATAAGGGATCCATGGTGGATGACTGCTTAATGCCTTGCACTAGAGGAGTTAATGCTGATTTAGAGTCTTCAAGTCCAGTACTCACCAAAAGATCTAAAAAAAAAAAAAGCCGTGAGTGGTGCACCCTTTGAGATATCTGAAAATGTAAAGAGCAGCTTTGTAATGGTCTTGACATGGCTGCTACATATACTAGCTCAGTTGTTGCACTGCATAGGTTATACTGGCTCAGTTGCTGCACTGCATAGGTGATATCTGGTCTTGTAAGACCGAGTTATAGTAATTTTCCTATGAGTCTCCTGAACTAATCTGGATTAGATAATAAGGGATCCATGGTGGATGACTGCTTAATGCCTTGCACTAGAGGAGTTAATGCTGATTTAGAGTCTTCAAGTCCAGTACTCACCAAAAGATCTTGAATATATTTTCTTTGTGAAAGGAATAAACCGGACTCTAATCTTGCTATTTCAAGTCCCAAAAAAAATTTTGCATCGCCCAAATCCTTGACGGTAAATTGCTGGTGAACGAAATTTTTAGTTTCTTTGATTAGGGACTCATCAACTCCCGTTATCAGTACATCATCAACATAAACAAGAAGTATTAGGAGATTAGAACCTAAACCTTTTCTGAACAAACAGTGGTCATGATGAGATTGTTTAAAACCAAAAATTTTCAATTTGGAAGTCAGCTCTTTATTCCATTGTCTCCCAGCTTGCTTCAACCCATAGAGGTATCTTTTTAATTTAAAAACTTGTCCGGGCTTCGCCTAGTCATACCCATCCGGTGGTTGCATGTAAATCTCCTCATCTAGAAATCCAAGGAGATATGCATTGTTAATGTCTAATTGGTGGGCTGGCCAAGAGTAAGTTGTTGTCATGGCTAATAAGATTCTCACTGCTACTAATTTTGCAACGGGTGAAAATGTGGCTGTATAATCAAGGCCAAGGAGCTAGTTGTACCCTTTAGCTATAAGTCTGGCTTTGTATCTATTTATGTATCCATTTGGTTGATACTTCACTCTAAAAACCCATTTATTGCCAATGGCCTTTTTTCCAAGCGGTAAATCTATTAGTGACCAAGTATCATTTGCTTCAAGTGCTGCAAGTTCCTTTTCCATGGCAATAACCCAGTTGTTGTCATGCTTAGCTTGATTATAGGTGTTGGGTTCAAGGACTTTGGACACTTTGGAGTGAAAAGCTAAGTAGGAAGTGCTAAAGGACAGATTTGAAGAGGAAATAACATCAAAAATTTGTGTATTACCTTAAAATGCATGAGAAGTAAGAATGCTAGTATCATTGGACTGTACAGTTGACACGAAGTCTTGTAACCGAGCTGGTTTGTGTTTGATTCTGGTACTTTTTCTAAGTGGTGAAGGTTCTGGTAATGGTTGTGGTTGTATGATGGGATGTGTTAGGATAGATGGTGAAGTGTCCTGTGCGTAAAAGGTAGGATTAGTGTTGATATCTGTGCTGGGATTGTGTAGGGAAGACAAATTTTAGGAAGCGGTTATGTTTTGTGCG